ATTAAATAATTTAGTCAAATAAGTAAATAACAAACAAAACTTTATGCTTTATCAATTGGGGTTAGATTATTACATGTCTTACATTCATTTCAGTGAAATGAATCAAGAATTAATTTTTTTCTATGTTCTGTGAAATAATTATTTTGTTATTTTAGTTGGTATCGATTGGAAAAATTGGGGTATTTTTTATCAATTAGGATTTAAAATAGAATGACAAAAAATAAGAAAATTCAAATAAACATTTTGGTAATTTAATGCATTGTTAGCTTAGTTAATGGATAGGGGTGTTTATTGCAAAGTGAAAGGTCATGAGCATGTGTTTATGGAAATATATGTATCCTGCAGCAATATTTGGTACCAATGCTCCAAGAAATGTTTTCTATACTTCTATCCATTATCCACTGCCACATCAATGCCCTGTGGGCAGCAATGAGCTGCAGCTCTAGGAAATGCCAAATTTGACATTGCTCCAAGCTATGCCTTCCCGATTTCCAAGGCGTGGCTTCGAGCACCGCTTTCTATGGAAAATAGTTCCAAACAGAAGGCTATTTCCTGGAGCACCGTTTTTCCTACATGGTGCTAATGTGACACCGCTTTCTGGAGCGACAACAACAGTTCCAAAGAGACGTGTAGTTAAAATGCCATTTTAAAAACTAAGTTTTTAACTACAAAAAGAAAATAAGTCCTTAATATAAGGAATGCCAAATGTAGTCTGCTTTACCCCTAACATCCCCTCTTGTTTAATTTAGCTGGACAAGTGAGTTTATTGGGCAAGTGTTTCCCAAGCAAAAGTTGCTTGGGTAAGTTCAGTTCCAACCTCTTGGGCAATGCAATTTACTTGGATAAAGAGAGAGGCAGTAGGAGAGCGTTATCGATGGGCGGGTAAACAACTTATAGCCAGGTAATTGATATTCTTTGGAAAATTTGCTTATTGTGGAACTTATTATAGTAGTATACAAATGCGAAGATCATGATGACTAATTATCTGATTGACCAATTTACCTCTCTCAAGATAACGACATTCAAATAGAATATAAAAATATTTATTTTGTAATTAGTTTAAGATAATATTAATAATATATAAATTTAAGATGATATGAATAAACCGGTCACTAAAATTAAACCAAAGATATTCAAAGAATGACTAATCAACCCATAGTCAGAATTTATAAACCTAAAGTAGAATTGGGATAGATGCCATTTCGGAATTTATAAACCTAAAGTGTATAGAGTGGGGATTTTTTACCTTTAAAATGTTTATAGTTCTGCGGTAAAAATGAGAAATCTGCATTGCGCCCTGTTCGTACTTTTTCGAAAATCTTATTTATAATTCTGGACCATCCAATTCCTTCGGTAAGCCGTACATCCACGCAATGTATCAACATCAACGGGCTAGTTGGTCCGCGCAAAAGCTTTTAGCGTCAAGACCAATGACGGGAATTTTCTGAGTGGTGTTTCAACTTTCATTGTACATGAGGTCAGCTGCACTTAGGAATTTCACGGGATTCCTATTTCTTACCATAAAAATAAAAAAGAAAAGAAGAATTTCTATTGCTAAAAGCGAAGCGTGCTTTGGCAAATATATATGACCTGCAGTTTCGTGGCAAGTCTTTCAAGCATCTAATTGGGTTTTAATTTAATTAAGACTAAAATATGTTTAATTTCTCACCAGATAACACACCTTATGCACTTCGATGTAACTTGTCTGAATGCCCTTAGGCTAGTTTTTCTACTAAATTGTTTGATTTATCATTTACGTGGTAAATGGATTTGAATTTTTTTGAGGAAAAGTAAAATTGATTTTATTCGTTATATAAATGATTCTAATCTGAATCACTAATTTAATTTTAGAATTAAATAAAGATGCATGCTTCTCTCTCTCCCCCTCCCTCTCATTAGAACTACATAGATGATGGATTTTGTTTTATTTGTTATTACTATTAAACACTTATATAATTTCAATTTTAAATTAGTGGAGGGGGGCATGCTTTGTAGGGGTTGACTCATAAATGATCAGGTTCAAGCTCGATTCAAATTAGAGATTTGAGCTCGAGTTCGAGTTCGAGTCAAAGGCCCGAAAGTTTGAGCTCGGCTATCTTTGGTTGCAAGTCTCTCAAGCAGTTGAGGTCTCCCTCATCTGCTGAAGTGTTGAGCTGAGGTTTCCCTAGTAGGTGAGGTGTTGAGCTAAGGTCTCTCTTAGTTGACAAGGTGCCAAAATGATGTTTCCCTCGGTTGTCGAGGTGTTGAGTTGAGATCTCCCTCAGTGACCAAGGTGCCGAGTCGAGATTTCCCTTAGTGGTCGAGGTGTTGTCTTGCTCGAGTACGATTCGAATTAGAGACTTGAGCTTGAGTTCAGAAGTTCGAGCATGGCTCGGCTTGAACTCGACTACCTTTGATTGCAGGTCCTCTAGCAGCTGAGATGCCGAGCTGAGGTCTCCCTCACTTGGAGAAAGAGTGGCATTCTTGTAATTTATAAGGAGAGAGAGATGACATTCTTGTAATTTAAAAGAAGAAGAGAGAGAATTGGTAGGAGAGAGAGTGGCATTCTTGTAATTTGAAAGAAAAAAAAAAGCAAGAGAGAGAGGGTTGGTAGGAGAGAGTGGCAATATTATAATTTGAAAGAAAAAAAAAAAGCAAAAGAGAGAGAATTGATAGAGAGTGGCATTCTTGCAACTTCTATGAAAAAAGCAAAAAATACTATTACATTCTATTTCCCTCGTCCTCGAGCCTTTTTCCATACATATTTCAGCTTAATATATTTATGTAGATTGAAATTTATTCAGTCTCTTAGGCTCTGTTTGACATTAATTCTAAGGATTCTCATTCTAAGAATCTTAAAAAAAATGGATTCTAAGAATTTTCATATGAAGAATCACCAAATGTGTTTGGCATAATCATCTGATTCCTGTTTCTTAGAAACAGAGTCACGTCTAGTAGCAACCAAATTCTTGAAATCAATTTCCTAATACTGATAGACAAAACCATGTCAATTATCAAAAAAGAAAAAAAAAAGAGAGCATCTCACTTACTCAATCACTCTCTCTCTCTTTCTCTCTCTCTCTCTAGATAGATAGATACATTTGACAAAAATTTGGGGAGAAAAAAATAAGAAAAAAGTGACCCATGGAAAGAATAACCAAAAATTTAAAGATTAGACTTAGAGGAGGTACTCGAACTCATGTGAAGTGTAACTAATGAAGCATAGGTGCCATCCTTGATGTTTATTTTAATTTTTCATGCTTTCCATTCTCTATGATTACCCCATTTTTAACAACTGCTATTGGGTCTGCACCTTTAATGGTAGTAACCGATGTGCCAGCACAACCGTTGTTCTGTCCACTGTCCACCATAACACTGTCCAATGCATCCTGTACCACTTGTTCTGACTCGGTTGAATTGAATTAAACTAGTTTCATATTTCATATACCGAAATTGAATTGAATTGAAGAGATGGAAGAAAGCTTAGTTTGGTTGCACTGTTCAAACCTGTTGCAACCCATTGATAAACTTGTGGGCATTGGCCAATTCAGCTGCACCTAAACTTTCAGCCTCTGTTGCATTTCCTTCCTTTCCATATGCAATTTTGGCTCTGATGGTGTCATTGAATAACACAGGTTCTTGGTTCACCATATCCAATCAAAGCAACTGTTGATTTCCCACTCTGAATCAGGGTCGTAAAACCTCTGCAACAACAAGATAAATATTGATTTCCCACTCCCACTTTCTCCAACCAAAACAATTTGTTTGAAAAATTAGATCCAGTTCATTAGTTTTGCTTTGGGAAAAAAAAAGAACAAATATTATATAAACTATAGTTTTTATTTTATGGTTCTTTCTTTTCTCTGTTTCCAGTTAAAAGTACACGCTACAAGGAAACCATGAGGGGAGAAAGAAGAGTAATGAGGTATTTGAGCTTCCCCTGAATTCCTCCCACCACTGAGCATTATCATTGATCTCTTCCTCCGTTGGATTCTCTTTTTTCTCGAACACAGGGTCGTCGTTGAGAATTTTCTCAACCTCTGGTGTGTTTCTATTGGTCGGGAAGAGTTTCGCATTCCCAGAAGAATGTTGGAATCACTCCCGGGGAGTGATGCCAAACGGCGCCTTAATCTTCTGTTTGGAACTTGCAAGTTTGGATGATTAACTTTTACTATTTCTCTGTTTCTGTCTTTTTTTAGTGGTATTAAAAGATCAGCTGTTCAATCAAGCGTTTTTCCACTACTACAGGTAGTTGATGGGATTTACAGTTTTCTACAGTTGAGGTCAGAATGAATTTTCACTCCTTGAATGGCTTTGTATCACACTAAGTACTGCCACGTCGGGCTGAAGTGTCATATCACTATTGGTTGTCATTAAAGGATTCTTTTTTTATTATTTTTGATAAACAGAGGATTCCATAAGTGTACTTGTACTAATAGTACAAGTGGTGGATATCCTATTCATCACGTCTGACTGTCTGAGACCCTAGGTCATGACTCATGACCAGAAAAGGCCATTAGGTTTTCGATTCCTGGTTAGCTAGCGTTTAAGCAAATAATTAATAAATCCTCTTTTTTACAGAGCGGTGCGCACAAGAGCCAGAGCAAGGTTTAGCTGAACGCTGTAGAATCAATAATAAGATTTTACGCCAGTAATAAAAAGGTAAATAAAAAATAAAAAATATACATATATATAAGAAAAAAGTACTGTAAGACTCGCACGGTCGCACCTTTTACAGTGGGCCCATTAATTTATTAATGACGTAAAAATTCATCATTAATTCTACAGCCCGCTGTACGTTCAGTTAGTCCGAATTTCAAGAGCTACGATTGGTCAGTGACCCAACTTCTGCCCATATAGGTTGTAGCCCAGACCCAGAGACGAGAGATGAGACCCAGTACCCACGTCGTGTGTACTGACAAAAATATGACACCATCCATCCATTTGTTTAACAGGCGATTACGTTGAATTCGACCTACTATAGGGGCCATAACACAATTTTCTATAAAAGCTAAGACTGAGCAGAGAAAGAAAGTAGGCTTTATTAGCTAAAATGTTTCCTCAGAAAACGTCAATATTGTTGAAGTTTCCTTCATAGTTTAGCTAAAATGTTTTCCCCCCTTCTCCCTCCCATCTTTCCAATTAATGTTGGTGTTTCGCGTCACTTCCATGGATTAAAAACATGTAGCAGCTCTTCCCAGAATTAGAGCATGCTTCTGCAATTCTTCCGAGCTTGTTGTTTTCGTTGTGGGGGGAGATGGTGAGTTGATGATATTGAGCTAGGAGCTTATAGCTTCAATCTTTTCGTGCTTTATATCAGAAACAGGCTTTCTCCTTCTTGCTCTCTCGGATAGCAGTTGTGCTTCATGGAACTTCAAGGTTTCTCTCTCTCTCTCTCACATACACACACTCACGCTCACTCACTCACAGAGACGCAAGCACAGACCATGTGTAAAAGCTTCATTGTTTTGTGTGTGCATTAATATAATAGTTTTGGTTGAAGTAGTTTTTTTCTCAGATCTATTTGTTGTTTTAGGAGATGGATTTTTCTTGCAGATAAAGATAAATAAAAGAGGCGGACTTTCTGATCTATTTTATAATGATATATATTTCTTGTTTCAGATGTTTCCTTTGATGAAAAAAACCCTAAAGCATATGTTGAAGACTTGAAGAGATCTGTAATTGCATTAGTGTGTTTTTTGGTTCTTACGATCTGGTGTTCAGTGTTATTTCCCAACGTACATAGGTTATTGTAGTTTGTCACCTTCTTCTCTTTGACACTAGTATTTTATACAGATGGTTTAGAGTTAAAGAGGAGTAGCTGCAAGCCTGCAAATGACTATGGGAAAGAGTCATGTGAAACTGGTCACTAACTCGGGCTAGTTCTCTTTTGATGAGTCATGGCGAGTAGTCAAGGTAGGGAGAGCTGAAGGGAGAAATTTTGAAGACTAAACAATAGCCATTTTTTGCCTAGTGTAAGCCCATAGAGAGCATAGGAAAGCATCAAGTAATATGAATCTGAATTGAAGGAGAAGAAGATATATATTGTATTAATGCTTATGATTATGGAAGAGAAAATATTGATACATGTCAGTAGTTAATGCCCTTAGAATGGAGACCAAATCAGCCCCCCACAACATCCCATAGTACATCCCCGCCGTGCATTGAGAACATATAATGATGTCATCATTGAGTGATGCTCTCGTTACATGGCAGAGATGTACTGTACCACGTTGTGGGGGGCAATCTCGTGGAAACTGATTTGAACTCCTTAAAATATGCTAATTAACAATCAATCTGTTCTACTATGTGAATATTGCTTTTTCATTTGTTTTTGAAATTGCCCCATCAGCAAAACAGAAAAAAAAAAAAAACAAAAGCCTGTTTTTGAACTTATATTTTTTCGATTTTGTATAACAATGCTTTTTAAAATAAAAATATGTTTATCAAATTAGAAATTCAAAAACACACACACACATCTACTAGGATGATAATTAGGACCATTAAAAAGAGATGAAAGCAAATAAGGCTCTCTCTTAAAGACTAAAACCATATAGTGCAGTAATTAAATGTCAGAATGTACTCTATTGTACAACACGGTGAGTCAGATCCTAAGAGGGGGATGGGGGGGCGGCCAGGGGTGTTAGAGGTAGTTTGATAATTTATTATAAAATCCTAGTGGCTGAAGTGAAATTAAGATTTATTACTTTGTTTTTTAATGGACAAAATAATTAAAGATATAGTAACAAGAGTGCAATTTTGGTTGAATACTTGCTTAAATTTTGAATGAGCCGGATCCACCTTAGGTAGATTTAATTTCTTAACTCGATCAACCAACTGTTACCCTTGTATTCATATCAACTTCAGTTTCAGCCATTAGAAAGCTCAGAACCTCCTTCTTTATTATTTATTTATATATCAAAGAAAAAAATTTCCTTGATAACTTTTTCACTAAAAACAAAACTAAGCCATTTTAGTTCATACCTTGTAAGGACTGCAAATGGATTATATTTAATCGATTGAAATTAAATTCAATTTTCTTAAGTTGGATTTGAATATCTATTTGGCTATAATCGGATCGAGTTGAAATACCGCTATATTGGCATCACTACATTAATGGTGTTATGATGTTCTGGTTTTGATACTTCAGCAATATTGTGCAATGTAAAATTTATCTTTTTAATTTCTTGTGAACTTAAAAAAATATGAATTTATGTTTTCTCCTTTGAATGAAACCTGAAATTATTTGTTGCACGAATTTGTTTTTTAAAACAAAAACAATTTGAAATTTCTATTGAATCGGGTCTAGAAATTCCGCCGAACTTTTTCTTTTTCTTTCTTTTTTTTTTCTGATTTTGATTCTGAATTATCAGTTCTAAATGTAATTCCAAGTCAAAATTCAAATACTTGTAATTTGGATGTTCGTAGCTTGCGCTATTAATTATTCAAATCCAACGGCGCTACTGTTGTTGAATCCGCAGGAGGACTACAGGGAGCGGAACTAAAAGATGAGGAGATCCCCTACAATGGGCGAGACATATCTGACTTCAGAAAGAAGTGCACTCTTGGTAGTTTTCTTTCTTTTGATTTCATCAACGAGGAGAATCAAAATTGCAGGTATTCAGCTAGAAAGAAACCTAGACAACACAAGGAACCAGTTAGGAAAAGCACTAGCTCTAATAAGGATCTGATTAATACTCTGCCCGATGAATGCATCTTGGAGATCTTCAGGTTTCTTCCATCCTCCAGAGACCGCTGCTCTTGCGTTACAGTCTCGAAGAGATGGCTTGCCTTACAGGCCACCATGCGGATTTCTGAGTTAAAATCCGACCCAAAATCCCGCAACAATAAAATCTCGGAATGCTTGCAAGGAAAAAATGCAAACGATACACGATTAGCTGCAATAGCTGTAGGGACCTGCCTTCGTGGAGGTCTGAGTGAGCTTTGCATCGATGGAAGCTCTCCAAATACTCAAGGGATCACTGATATCGGCCTCGGAATCATCGCTCTGGCTTGCCCGGGCCTGAAAACACTGTCACTCTGGAACTGCACCAAGGTTGGAAACAAGGGAATTGAATCTATTGCGAGAGGTTGCAATTCACTCGAGAAGCTCGATCTTGTCAACTTGCCAATTGTGGATGATGGATGTCTCCTCGCCATTGCTAAGAACTGCCCCAGTATATCTTGTCTGGCCATAGACTCATGCCCACTTGTCGGAGACACGTCCCTTGAAGCTTTTGCAAGATATTCTTCCAAGATTGAGTCTCTCTCTGTGTCCAAGTGTCCCCAAATAAACGCCAGCGGAGTTATTTTGATCGTTTCGAGCTTGCCCAAGATTTCAAAGCTTAAGCTTGTTTCCCTGACTCTGAGCGACAGCGTGCTTGAAGCTATCGGAGGACATGCAAAATGTCTAAGTTGCATTATTCTTGACAACATTTCAGGCATCACTCAAGCGGGATTTGGCTTGGTTGGAATGCACAAGAATTTGAACGTCTTTCTTTTGACACCTTGGTCCGGTTTATTAAACAAAGCAAGTTCCATGGCAATTGGGGATGATGGGTTTATGATGAGCAGATTGACGCAGATATCAGTCCGAAAGTGCAATAGTTTAACCGACAAGGGTCTGAAAGAGTTGAGCAAGTCGACTTCACTGCTCGAGAGTCTGGTACTAGAGGAATGCCGTTCCATTACCTGGAATGGTTTAATTCAAGTGTTCATAAATTGCAGTGCGACGTTGAAGACATTATCATTGGTAAGATGCAGGGGAATAGCAGATGACATTTCAAACTTGCAAAGAACTTGCCTTCCAAAATATCCTCGTTTGCATTCTTTAACGCTGAAGAAATGTCACAGGATTGGAGACTTATTCTTGGCATGGATAGGGCATGCATGCATTCAAGTTAAGCATCTCACCCTTGTGGGACTGAAGTTGATCACAGACCAAGGGGTCATTAACCTCATCCAGACGCTCAACACAAACACAGTACACAGACTGGTGAGCGTGGATATGAGTGGGTCTTCTGGTATTACGGATTTGAGTGTCTACGCCATAACTAGCATAGTTGGAGAGAAGCTTCGATGTTTGATATTAGACGGGTGTGAAAGATTGAGCGACTTAAGCTTGAAGATGATATCAGAACGCTGCCCATGCTTGATAGACCTGGGGCTGTCTAGGTGTTGCATCAGTGATGATGGCATATTCTGCTTGACTTCTACACAGATGCGGTGTTTAAAAGTGCTATCTCTGGGTGGTTGTGTAGGTATTACGGATCGATGCTTGAATTACCTTCTGATGATCCGGGGGAGTTTGGTGGGACTGGATCTTAAGCATTGCCCCCAACTGACCAAGGAGGGGATTGATGCAATAAGTGAGACGTTGTGGTGGTGTGATTTGTTGCACTACTAGCGGCATACGCAATGCCGCAGTGCAATTTTGGCATATCATATCCTCTTCATCCACCTCCCGGCCAGCGGCCATTTACATTACTCATGGGCTACATGCAAGTTTTGGTCTCTCTCTCTCTCTCTCTTAGTGGGCCCCCATTCCACGACCGCCTCTAATGGGTTCCGTGCTTCAGCCCCTGCTTGGCAAGAGGTAATCCAATGAGTCAAAAAAATACAGCAAAGTCGTCTGCAGTTCTACTCCCCCATTGTCAACGATAATTTTGTTACCTCTACTGCCAATCTGCCGTTTGCTCCGTCGGTTTACGTTTTGGGGATGTTGCCGTGTTAATATGGGCTCTTTGAATTTTTAGGCTGTTGTTGTCCTTAAAACCAGCGCCACCGGGTTCTATCTCTATGGTTTTCATGGTTTTTAGAAAATTAAGTCGTTCATGATTTCTTTCTGGAAAATTCTTTTTTTTTTTTTTGACTTCTTTCACTACGTAAATTATACATTTATTGTATGAATGCCATTAGAAATTTGTCAGCTGCAGTTCTCCATGTTAAGTGAAAGAAAAAAAAAGTAAAACACTTAAACCTCCCCCGACAGTTTTCTAAATACTAAAATTAACCTTCCCTCTCTTTCTCGAAATGGATGAAACATTGAAACCTCTCCTATTTGAATGTCACACCATTATATCAAATGGGATTAATGAAAAGACTCCTTTACCCTTATATATTCTTTAAATTTTCAAAACAGTTAAAAATTCTAATCTTAAATTTTGGTTGATTATGAAGTGTTTGTTGTTTCCACTTAGTATGTCACATCAGAACAGGATTTATGATGTGGGAAAGGCATGGTATTGAAAGAATTTTGATCAATCAAAATCCATCCATGAATTTTGATAAATGACACCTGATTGACTACTATGTTTATGATTCCAATTTATTGGTTAGACATTTTTTGGATATCATATCTTTTTCATTTCATAGTTGAACCCACTTTACTAAGATGTAGACCGTGCATAGAAAAGAAGTTGGTTAGACGTTCATTCGATTTCGTTATTAAGATCTAACAAAAGGTCCTATTTGTTTTTAAATAACCTACTTTTCTGAGCAAGTGCATTTACCCATATTTTTTTGTTTAATTTACTTGGATAAATGTATCTTATAGGAGCACTTTTGATCATTTAAAATTTTTTCATTTACCATCTACTTGGAAAACTCAGCTTACCCAAGTTTAAGAAGGGTATCACTTATGAGAAATTCAATTTTACCATGGGTCCATACAATTTTTAAATAAGAACATGAATAAATTGGTCAATGGGAACCATAATCCCAATTACGAATGGGGACTAAAATGTAGACAATAAATAATTCCTTCAAGTGATCAACCTATTGGTACCATTGGCGACGGCGCTTTGATGGTGGGGAAGCCATTGACGATGGAGATGTAGGTGCTAGACATGAGGGCCAAGATGATGCAAGGGATGAAGTCCATAGAGCACATACACAAAACCATGTTTACTTTTTAACTTTCACAATGTACAAATACGACATGACTCGACAAATCTAGACTCATCACTTCATCACTTGCCAACTAAGACCCAATAGTGCATTGTTTACGATTCCAATTACTCCAACGCTCAATTAGGTCGTGTTTTGTATGGCTTCCATTTATTTGATAAACGATGCCATGTCATAAACAAGTCAGCATTTATCTCATCATGCTGATTTGTATCCATAGGTATTTACGAAAGTTGGTCTTAATTTATGTGTGCACCAAATGGGGGAAGCTTCATTTTAACGTTTTCCCTAATGGTTGAGTGTTTATTTACTGTTTCATTAATGTGATGCCTAATGGCGCCTAATTGTTAATAAAAGGTTTATCAATTACTTTTCTTGCTTTTTATGACAAATCAAATACAAACTTTTATTTAATAAATGGAGCTATACCAAACACATACTCAATTACTCATCAGTGTCGACTGTATAAAGGTTTGGACCATATTCAAATATAGCCTCACTTGGATCCTATTCGATACTATTAAGAGCATATGTGATTGCTCCTGAGTAGGTTGATAATATATTTAGGAATATGATTACTTAAAAATAAAACACATGTCTTCAAAAGTATTTAATTTATTTATGAATAGGGCAGATGAATGACTATGACATGTTGTTGCCTTGTAGAATCATACTCTAACTTCACAACTAGTGAATTAGAGTACTGTTATAATTCTTCTTATTTTGCCAAAAAATAAACGCTTGGGGTTGAGCCATCAAGTATGAAATTCGTGGTGCTGATTTTTCTTTTGATCCAATTATCATCAGTAGTAGATTGAGAAGTTGCTAAATATAATTTTTGTTGGGAAATGGGGTCACTGAAACTTGGAGGAGAAGCTTTGAGGTGTGTCTAAAGATACTGTCTTTAGAACAAAGCCTTGGGCGAGAATCTGTAACTAATAAAGTTGAAAAGTCTCCAAAGAAACCTTCTATGAGACAATAGTAGACCGGACTGAGAGGGAGACAAAGTGATTTTCGAAATTGTGGGTGCAAATGCTTGATTCACACTCCTTAAATAAATTCTGAAGAGTCATGGAGCAGAGGAAGTGTTGGTTCAGAAAAGGCTCATTGAAAAGTTAAATTTCAAAAATTGTGACTGTTAAAAGGCAGTTAATAGTTAATGACTATTAACTTTGAATGATGCCTCTTAATCACACCTATTCAAACCGTGACCGTTGTTCACATCAAAGGTCAGTCTCACACCAAAAGCCAAAGCCGCCCTTCGTGAGCCACGCAGATGCGAGCAAAGTGTGCCTCTAAAGCTCCTCATTGCGCCGCACACACGTACGCGTGCATTGCACAATAGCAAGCCTTCATACTCTCCTCTTTATATTTAAAGAGTGTAAATTAACTCCTATTAAAAAACCCATAACAATTCTTATAATTTTCCAATGTGGGACATGTTAAAGACTGGTTTCAGTAAGAGAAAAGCTATTTTTCAAAACATGTGTGTAGGTATGTTTTTCATATAATTGACCAATCAAACCCCATTGGATTTAATCTCTAATGAGATTAAAATCCAACAATCCCCCACTTTGATTGATCAATTACATAGGTCTCTCTCGATCCAAACTGCTATGACATAGTTATGCATACAAAAGGTGTTTTGTAACTTAAATCTTTTACTAGTACAGATATCTCAGAGCTTTGTCAAATTTATTGATGGCAAGACCTTAAACCAATTACTTTCAAGACAGACCGGAGATACCCATACATATAAATATTTTGATTTTGCAAGAGTTTCAAATTTTGCTCAACATTGTTATGGCGATGTGATTCTTTCTTGGTTTCATGAACAATCTTAAGAGCAAATCCAAGTTCTGATGAGAAGTGGCATCACTTTTATGTTTACGTAGGTGAAGTTCCACTATGTGTTCTGTTATTTGACACATTTTAGAACTTCATTAAGAGTTTAACTCAACCTCTAATCATAATAGACAACATGATTTATATTTTGATGAGAAATTTCTCGATGTTAGTGCTAACAATTACATTGCTATAACCTGTTGTTACCCATTAAACCCAATACTAATGTTTTTTCAATTCAGGTTGGGTTACTATTATAGATGACTAAATAAAGGGTTTTAATCTCATATCTTTAGTTGTCGTTCTTACCAATTTAGGCATCAGCCAAGTTTTTACTTGACCTCACATAAGTTATAATGGTGACTTCACCTTGAATTAGTTGCCTAACAAATTCATGTCTCAGACTTATATGTCTGAACTTACCATTGTAGGTACCACTATAGGCTCTTAACAGAGTTGCCTCACTATCACAGTAAATGAAAATTGATGGCATAAGACTAGGCCAAAGTTTTATATCCAATAATAAATTTCAAATTCATTCAGCCTCTTTTCCAACAGCCGCCAAGGCCATGAATTTAGATTCCGTAGTCGAGTGAGATATACAAGTTTGTCTCTTAGATGCCCAAGAGACTATACCCCCACCAATGACAAAAATCAATCCAGAGGTGAACTTGTTATCTCAATTACTGGTAATCCAACTTGCATTAGTATACCATTCTAGCACAATTGGATAATCATAATAAAATAAGCCAAATTTCAAGGTACTTTTGAGATACCCAAGAACTCTCCCAATTGCCTTCTAATGCTCAGCACCAGGATTACTTGTAAACCGATTAAGTTTACTTGCTACAAATGCAATATTAGGTCTAGTACAAAGCATGACATACATCAGTCTTTTTACTGCACTAGCATACTCAAGTTGTGCAATTGCTCTACTAGAATTTTCTACTAGCTTTATATTAGAATCATATAGTGTGTTATATTCTTTAAATCTAAATGCTTAAATTTCTCAAATATTCTCTCAATATAATGTGATTGGCTTAATGCATAACCCCTACTATGCTTTTTAACTTTTATTCACAAGATGAATTCTACATTTCCTAAATATTTCATCTTGAAGACAGATGATAGGTAATTTTTAGTTTCATTTATGCCAACCATATTAATACCCACAATAAGCATGTCATCAACATAAAGACATACAATTACACCATAATTTTAAGTAAACTTTGAGTAAATGCATCTATTAACATTATTGTGTTTCAAACCAAAAGATAGAATGCAAGAAACAAAATTTCCATGCCATTGTTTGGGTGATTGTTTTAAATCATATAGAGATTTAACTAGTTTACAGACTTTATTCTCATCTCCGGGAAGAACAAATCCCTTTGGTTGTTTCATATAAACTTCTTCATTCGAATCACCATTTAAGAAAGTAGTTTTAACATCCATTTGATGAACAAATAAGTGATAAATGTATGGTAGTGCTATAGGTGTTCTAATGGAAGTTGTTGTAGCCATTGGCACATAGGTGTCAAAGTAGTCAATCCATTCATTTTGACTGAATCCTTTGGCTACCAATATAGCCTTAAAAGTTTGTACAATTCCACCAGTGTTGTATTTTCTTCTAAATTCCCATTTACATTTGAATGGTTTGGATCATGGAGGCAAGTTTACTAGTATCTATGTGTTATTTGACATTATTAAATCCATTTCATCATCTATAGATTCTATCCAAAAGGCAGCACCTCTAGAGGTCATGGCCTCATTGTAGGTTTTTGGGTCATTTTCGATATTAAGTATAATGAGTATCTTATTTAAAATATTTTCTCTATCAGCTTCGACTAGGAATACAATTCACTGAGTAGAGATAAAATCAGAACTTAAGTGTTTCTTTGTTCTTTGTCTTTGACTTCATCTAGGTTCTACAGTAGGTGTTATAGTTGTCATTTATTCTTTTAATCTCATTGTTAACAATAGGTATTGAGATCTGAGTTTCTCTTTCAGGTTCTCTGTTATTTTCTATAGATTTAGAATATGGTTTATTTTTAAAGAATTCAACATCTCTAATTTCAATTATTATATTGGACTC